TTTATATTAAAATATTAATATAATAATTTAGTGAATAATTGATATAAAAAAGTTGTTATGGCAGCTCATTTCCTTTTCTTTATTGCAGCTTATTTTCTTTTCTTTCTTTTCCTTACTTTAACCATGCAAATTTCTCTGACTTTCTTTCTCTCTCTCCCATATTTATGTCCAGCTGTTCCTTGGCTCTCTTCCATATATAAATTTTTCTTCAAGTAAAGATAAATAATTATTTCTTTTTTTCTTTATATTTAAATAAATTTTCTTTATCTTTTTTATTTGTTTTATTATTTAATTTTAATTTTATTCTTTTATAATTAGTCATTAAAAATATTAGGGTTTATGATAATTTAAAGGTTTTGATATTAATATATTCAAAATAAATATTTAAATCTATTAATTTAATCAATTAAATATTTCTTTTCTTATTATAACAAAATAAATTAATATTAATGCAAAACAACCCTTCTTAGTATTTCTTGTATTGATAAAGCAATTTATTAAAATTTAATATTTTTACATGATTTGTTTGTAAATAAAATATAAAACATGTTTTTTAAGTTTTTTTTTTACATAAATACTAGACATTATTCTTCAATTAAATATCTATAAATAATTAAATATAATTTAATTAATATACTTATTATATGCATATAGATAAAGCGGTTTTTAAATACAAAAATTCAAAGAAAACAATTATAATATAATTTTTTTTATTATCAAATATTTTTAAATTAATTTTATTTGATATAAATTACTATATATTTTTTGAATTAATTTCTAATATATATCTATGTAGTATAATATTTGTTAATAATTTATTTTTTTTATTTAAAAAACTCTGACTCCATTACTGGAAGCACATATCAGACTTGGGATCTGCAGGAACTGAGCTGCTAGCTTCAGTTTCAGCTTCCATTTTCATCCTTGGCAAAACTTGGACGCAAAGAAACAGAAGGGTTTTGTAGAAAGGAAATAGCTTTGTTATGTTTGCTTTACAAAACCATACAAAAGATTCACTTATTTCTCACTTCTTTCCTCTCTTCTCCTCACTGGACTTTCTTAAAAGTAAAAAGCATTGAGAGGGACTGAAGGGTCGTCGGAAGCGATTCCCTTTCACTCTCACATTTTCAATGTAGTGGTCTGCTTTTGATTGAAAAGGGAAGGGGTACTAGCTGGAGAGAGCTTGCTGATGATCATTGGTACACGGGGTGAGAGGACAAGACTAGCCTGAACAAGAAGAAGAAAAAGATATAGACCCACAGCCGAGGGAAATCAGCAATAGGATCACAAACCTTTGCTATTCTTGTTGTCAAGATGATGTATTTAAATCTTAAATAGCAGTAGGAAATGATTCCCACTTTGGTATTTTTTTTGTTTTTTGTATTTTAAAAATATGTTTAAAAAATTTAAAAAATTTTTATTTTTTAAATTAATATTTTTTTTAATATTTTCAAATTATTTAATATGCTTATATCAAAAATAATTTTTTTAAAATAAAAATAAATTATTTTAATATATTTTTAAATAAAAAATATTTTAAAAATATAGAGTTTAGCCTGTGAAACGTTGTGAATTTTAAGCAGGATTGGCTTCTTCTTTTTTTAACTTACTTTTTTAGAGAATATTTGGTAACATGTTGTAGCCATGTTTTAAAAAATAAATTAAAAAAATTACTTACAATTAATTATTTATATATATACACTAAGTAAAATAAAACATACAGTGCTTCTGTACATCGGCTGACTATATATGTCATTGGTGAGAGGACAAGACACGAGCCTAAAATCAGCAAGCCACCATAAAAAATAAAAAAAAATAAAAAAAAGAGCGAAAGCTAAGCAAGGCAAATCAGCAGAGGACCACAGACCTTGGCCATTCCTTCTGTCAAGTTTTGACGGTTTTCTAATGATGTTTAAGCTTAAATATGGTAGGTAATGCTTGAGCTGAAGTTAATCAAGTTCATAATTTAGTAGAGTTTAGTATATAATTTCGAATATGATGTTTTCTTTAATTTTGGTAACGCTCACTTGAACGGTTGCCTCTAGGCTAGGTGATCAAGAGAACCATGTTTCTGCTAAATGAGGTCAGGGAACATAAATCCACTACGAGGGGGGGATAAAAAAGAGGAACTCCATGAAATTTCTGCTGGCAGCTCAAGAAAGGCTTAATCATATCGATTCCTGTGATCATTTGGTGGATGAACACATTGCTAAACCAGATGATTAAAGACCAAGAAATTTGTATTTGTCATCCTGTCTCGTCCCCACGGTTCCCTGTACAGTCATCAGTCACAGAGCTGATTAAGAGCGCCAAAACTTTGAATGCTAAAAACACAAAGACATGCATCCTATACTTCAGCTGATTACAATCACTTAACAGAAAAACTATGAAAAAACACTGATGAATATTTACGAAGGCTAAAATTCTGGAGGTACGCAATGTCACCTGAAGACGAGTGAAACAAGATGGGAATAAACAGCCCACAAAATATGACATTGCATCTATTTTTCAATCTTGCTTTCAACTTCTAAGATATCTGTCTGCATTGCTTTAAGACCATGGACCAGGAAAGTATGTACAGTTTCTGAGTCAGTTGTAATAATTTATCTCCACCAACTCCAATGCTTCAACCCTATCATCGCCAGGTCCTACCTGGAACATATTTAGGAAAAATCTGAGGTGAAATAATGGAGATTTGCTTATGGAAAATTTACAGAGGTACCAATGTGCACTGACCTTTTATACAAAACCCTTACATCTTCCCTCACCGGCGGACTTTCCAAGAAGTGATCTCCACTGTCATCCAACTCAACAGTCCCCACCGCAAAATCCTGGTAACCACAGTATTCATTCCACTCAAACCACATTTTTGCGATTGCTTCCTTCCTGAAGCAAGTGTTATGATCTTCCTCTTCAGGTGAATCAGCAGCGACCAACCTATATGCATACACTTTCTTTGTTTGCCCAGGTCGGAATGCACGTCCTATCGCCTGGCGAGTTACTGAAGGATTAAGGTGAACATCTAAGATAATTATCCGAGATGCTCCCACCAGTGATATCCCTTCTCCACATGCCTTAATGGACCCAAAGAATATTTTAGCATTGGTGGAGTTGTTGAAACGCTCCATGGACCACTCCCGATGATCAGAACTTGACTCGCCAGAGATCACAAAGATTTCTTTTCCTAAAATCCAGCCCTTTTCTTTCATCACAAGTCTTTCTAAAAACTTCAACGGTGTGAGGTACTGGCTGAAAACCAGGAGCTTCTCCCCAGCTGACTCACATAAGCTTAATATATTGAGAAAGAATTTTGCCTTGACTCCATCTCTCACATCTACTGTCTCTAGCAAGTTGTCCATCATATCATCAGTTATGGCAGAGTTCTCGGAGGAGTTCAACTTTGGGTGAAGATAAACAGCACTCCCAACAGAACTTCTCTTGAACTTCATTGCCAACTTCTTCAACTTTTTCACCTCATGCTTCTGTCTGGAACTGAGGTTCAGCACCAAAGTGAAATCAACCAGCCCTGGAAGCTCATCCAAGAAATCTCCTTTATAATAATGAAGAACCTTGCTAGTCATCTCCCGCAGATCTCGTATAACAGTCACCTTCCTTTTGAAATTTTGGTCTTTCTGTATGGTTTGCTCTACCAAGTCATAGAAAGCTGCATCTGCACCTGCTTTGAATTGCTTCCTTGCACATGGAATGTTTACTTTACTCAAGATGCGCTTGACAATAGCTCGGGAGGTATCCATCTTCAAGAACTTTGGACGAACTAGATTCAATACATTGAACACCTCCTTGACATGATTTTGGTAGAGGGTTCCAGACAGCACAACTTTACGAGGCGTCTGCACTTTGGCTAGAGATTGTAACACGTCTGTATTCTCATTCCTCGGAGTATGGCCTTCATCCAAAATTAGAATTGAAGGTCTTCTTAGCAATATCTCCTGGCAAGTAACTGACACTTGGTTCTTCCCATCATCACATACAATAGAGGAGAACTGTTTGTACCCCAAGAAAAGGATACTCTTCTGCTCCACCCACTGTTTCAAGACCTCCAATTGTTGTTGCCTACTATCTGCTTTAACAGAGTAGAAATCATACAGCGGAAAATCCTCAATTTGCCATATCTGAAACTCCCTTTTCCATGTAGGCAATATTCCTTTTGGAAGCACCACTAGTGGTTTTGCATGTGGATATTTGGCTAGAAAACTTTGCATAAAACTGATTATCATAAATGTCTTACCAGATCCAGGAGCATGAGCAAGGATGCACCCCCCTGGATTATCTGCCACCAAATTATTGCGAAGAAAATTGAAACCCTCCACTTGATGAGGTTTCATTTGCTTCATGTGCCTTGGATGAGCAGGGATGTCAGTTACCATCAAATCTTCTTCAAACAAGTCAGCTCCAACCATCCCATTTGAATCTCTGTCCTTGGCATTCTGGGATTCAGAGATGTAAGTCCTTGTATTCCTTTTGACCTAAATTCAAGGAAAAATATATTAATGAAATTGAAAACAATTCCATACAAGGACAATTAGCTAGAAAACAAAAGACCAAAGCAGCAGAAACTGCAGTAAATATTGTTTGGATTACGCTGTACCATGTAACATAATATCAATAAAGCATGACTAGGAAAGAAACGAGAGAGCAGCATGTACAAAAGTTCTGCAGAAATGTGCATGCCAAATTCCGATTCTTGATAAATTCTTCTCCATGTCAAAAAAATTATCAAGAAATTTATAGCAGCAGGAACAGCAAACAGCATCATTTATTTTCATGTATGTTATCTACATATTATCTGTTGTTATTACTACACCAGAAAAATGCAAAAACAATGTGACAACTTTACCTTATTAAACTGGATTTCAATTATAGTATCAATTGCTCTCTCAATAACCCCACATATGCGACAAACATAACCAATATCATCCTTCAAGACAAAAGAGTGATCACAATAATCTTCATCTTCTTCCATGTTTTCATCAGATGGAGAATTTTCAACAACATCCTGCCAGAATCACCGGAGATTCATAATGAAATACAAAAGGAATGACTTTAAACCAACTATAAGTAGGTTTTTTCTCATTCTCTCATAATGCTAGACTCAAATGATGGAACTTAAACAAGCAGTCTAAGCAATAACATCAAAAGTCATCTATGATCCCTCAACTAATGGTGCTACAAGTAAAATAAGCTCAACAAGCATGTGCTGAAATAATAAAACATAGCTTCCTAAAATATAATTAATTTCATTTCACCTCTGGATGTCAAGTAATGATAGTCTCTAGTAGCATAATCAACTAGCCATTGATATTTTTATTTCTTTTCATGACTAATTATTCTACTTTCTTTCTTAGGACAAACCATCTCCTTCTTCTATCAATAAATAAAAAATGAAAGAAAGAAATACATAAAGAAAAAGGGGAGGAAAAAGGGGAGGAAACCTGGTTACAACTTAAGCATAAAGAAGCATGCCAAGATATTAAAATTCAAAATAAGACAGAGGTCCAAGAAATCAAGTCCTTAAAATCAATCACCAAATAATGAATCCGCAAAACCTGCCTTAATGAATAAAAAAATAATTATTCAACTGGAAAATTTAACCAGAACTTGTTGTATCCACCACAGATAGAGCCACATTTAATTAACATTTGGGAACTCCATGCAAACCGCATTCCCAAAAAATTCAATTTTTTTTGGCTAAAAATTAATATTTTTTCTTATGTTTTGAATTGTTTTGATGCGCTGATTTTAAAAATAATTTTAAAAAAATAAAAAAACATCATTTTGATGTATTTCATTATGAAAAGCACTTTAAAAAGCAACCACAACCACATGCTCAAACAAGCTCTTAAGATCATGAAGGACATTAACGTAGTTCTTATCAACTACGCTTCTTTAAAAAATTTTAATCCTATATATATACACCTTGGAGCATTCCAATGCAAATGACATTTCTTTCCAGATATCTCCAAGACCATCATCTTTGATCTCCGTGTCAACTTCATCCTCCTCTACACCAACATAAACACCTTTATCTTTCTTGGAGTCAGGTTCACCAGTAAGGCTCACCACTTCTCCTTGAATTCTTCTACCAACATCGTCACCAATCTGAAGAAATAACAATTAACATATGACATAAGACAGAATTGGCATTGGAGCAAGCAATAGTACTTGTACGAGATTCTGAAAATGAAAATAAAGGCGCTGCTCATTCCACAATTTTGAATTTAAAATCACCATTCCAGGGTCTATACTGATAACTGTGTAAGAAATCAATGCAGGTTTAAACCGTGTCAATGATTGAATGAATCCTCTGTGGTACGCTAAGTATTTAATTTTCAACGCACTCCCTGTCCTGAGCCCTTTCATTTGAAAAGGAAAAACTATACTATATGCATAAATATGTTTGCATGTTAGGCTGTTGTATACAAATGTTTGGATATAACTTTACCAAGCAACTAGTACTCATTTGAAAACTAGGTTCTATTTCATAAAAATGAATTCAACAAAGCACCCACATTCAAATTAAAGCGGACAGTTACCTCACCACATTGACAGAACATATATAATAAAATAAATGATGGATCATGCTCATGAAAATCCAGAGTTTAACGCGGCAGGGGCGCAGCACATCAGCATGCATGTCCCACGCGCACGAACAACACCCGTGTAAATAGAGACATATCAAATTATCACATGTGATGCATTAAACCAAATTTTACAATTAATTGCATTTCAAAACACACACAACCCCAGAACCACAAAAGCTGGTGAAACTTACCATAACGTCAGTGGAAAAATGCCCCTCGGGCTTAGGCAAAACAATCCCCTGAAAATGCCCAACCATCCTATTCTCATTACTCTCATCATCGTCCGAGTCAATAACCACAACCGGCGTTCTCCCCACAGCGACATTTCCAACAGAATCACCACCACCCTCAATCTCGTCATCATCCAAATCAATCACATTACACTTTTCCTCACCGAAACTCATCCCTCCACCACGTGGCTCATTCGACAGCGTAGGATGCAAAGACAAAAATGGACGCATCAATTGAGCTCTCCGGTTAAAAAGTGATCGGATATCGTCCGTAACACTTCCATATCTCCCACTATCTAACCGCTCCAGTAAACCACGAATTGCAAATGGCTTGGCGTAATCAGTTGCTTTTTCTTTTGTCTCTTTCATCCTTTTATTTCCCTTAACATGCGACTCTGTTAACCAAAAATAATTATTTAAAAATTGGAAAAATAAATAAATAAATAGGAAGAGGGATGGAGAGGGAGAATGAAAAGTACCATTTGAACCTGCGCGTTTTAGAGGCAAAATGTTCAGTGTACCTTCCATTAGAGAGCTGAGATTGAGAAGAAAGCATAAACGACATAAATTAATTCATGAAAGGACAGGGGTTTAAACCATGCAGAGAACTAACAGAGAATGCAAAGAATGACAGAAACCCTAAAGAGAGATTAAGAGGCTAACCACTGCGTTTTGGCTTGATTAATAAAGAGATTACATGGAAACTAAAGATAATTCACCAAGTTAATCAACTCTGTTTTCTCTCTATGAACGTACAAGAATGAAGAAGGGATGACCGATGACTGAGGAGTTTTTTTTACTTGTAATGCTTGCGTTGTTTAATATTGTCAGTGGAGAGAATTACTTTTGTGTAGTTTGCTTGTACTGGAATTTACAAGTTTCCGTGATGTTTTACCAAAGGGAGGTTTAAAGGCGGTGGCTTTGGGTCTAGTGGGAACAGATGAGTAAGGAGTTCACGACAATAGGGGCAAAGTGTAGAGTGGGGCGTGGGAATCTACAACGGGAATTCTATTGTTTGGGTTTCGGGAAATGTGTGATCGAATTCAGTATTGGGTTACCGCTGCTCCTCTTCGAGATATCTCATTACTGGGATTGGATAGTACGTGCCTGTTTGGCACTGCAGCAGCGATAATAACAGAAAGCAAAAGCTTAATTGAAGTGTTTGGTTAATCCAAACTACATATCTTTTCACATGGATCCCATCTAGTAATTGAGGTCGAACCTCAGCTCATGAGAAGTTTTTTATCTGCTTCTCCTGCATTTTTTTCCCTGCGATTCCACCTGTGTCTTCTCATGTGGAGAGTAAATTTAATTCACT